CTTTCCCCTGCTTTTCCCCAGCTCCCCAGGGGTGTCTGTCCCTGCACAGTCACTGGGGACTGCAGCAAAGCAGCGTGAGGACAGCAAGGAGGAGGGATGGGTGGATCTGGCAGAGATCAGTCTCCTCCATGTCTCCTGAAGTTGCAGGGCAGTGTCTGACTGCAGGGAGCAGAGCCTGAGCCACCCAGGTCTCGCAGAGACAACAGCAGCACCGAAAACCCTCCATGCAGTGTGGAGTTACAAAGCATGGTCCCAGGGACCCCGCAGAAGAGAAAGCTTTCAAAGCAAGGAGGGCAGGGATGGACATCCCTTAGGACACCGCTATTTCATGGCAGGGAAGTCCTGGCTCTTTAGACTGTCTCTGGCAAAGAGAGCCCCAGGGTGAAGCTCCCCCCCGACCCGACCTCCCGGAGCACACACAGGACAGCGGGAGCTGCTGAGTGCCTGCTGCTGGCTGTGCCGCGGGGCTGGCCCGTTTCCAGCGCTCCTGCCCGTTTCGCTTTCCAAACACTCCTGTTCCTGCCACCCCCATCCCTGCTGTTCACCGGGGACGTGCCGGGAACCAGGACAGAGCCCTGCGGGTTGCCCAGCCTCGGGAATAGCTGCAGCCGCATCCCCCCCCTCACCGGGATGGGGTCGGTGGAGGAAAAAGCGAGGAGGGGAGAGGGACAGAGTTTCCCGACGAAGTCCAAGCAGGCGCCCTGCTGCGGTGATCCCTTCCCCGTGCACTTCGCAGCCCGCCCCCCGAGCACCACCGTGCCCCAGCCCTACCTTGTGCAGCAGGGCCTCGTTGTAACCGGCCCCCCCCGAGCCGGCGGTACGGGCCTCCATAGCCGGGGTGCATGGAAAGGCTCCGGCCGCGGGCCGCTCCTGCAGCACCGCGGACAGCGCCCGCCCCGCCTTCAGCACCGCGGACAGCGCTCGGCTCCGCCCGGCTCGGTCTGGCACGGCCCGGTCCGGCTGCGCAGGGGCCGAGGGTCGGTCCGGCCCGGTTGAGCACAGCAGGGCTGGGTTCGGCCCCGTTCAGCGCAGCACGGCTCGGCTCGGCCCCCCTCAGGACAGTGGAGCGGTGCCCGGCTCCTGCCGCTGCAGAAGAGGGAGCCGGGGGGGGGGAATGGTGAGGCCGGTCCCGCCCGGGGGCGGGGAGGCCGTGGAGCTCCCCTCCACGCAGGCAGTTTCCACCCTGGTCTCTCTGCACTCCACCATCTCCATGCGCTGTGATAAAGGTGCCCCTGGCTCTGCAAGGAGCCCGGTACCGGGGCTCCTCTGCTGACACCCCTACAGCCATCATCAGCTCATGCTGCCGTTGGGCATCCAGGGGCAGTGGCAAAGCACAGACCTGTGAGATCACTAGGGTTAGCAATGCCACCCCAGCCAGGGACAATGGCTTGTGTTTCTTCATGAAACTGGTACTAGCCTGAGACTGGTACCCCAGCAGCTCCCCTTTGGAAATTTACATTTACAGAGCTCAGTTAGGAGCCTTCTTGCAGAAAAAGAACCCCAAATTGTATTTAGAAACGGGAGGAAACCGTGCCTAAACCTGGAGGTGACAGTCAAGATCTTATTGAGAGCCTTTATTTACAACTCCCTCTAGAGCAATCTGGTGTTGTCGATTAAACTCAGAAGAAATTACTGAGGAGTTTATTTAAGAGACTCGATTCAATCTTCAGCTCCCTCCCTCCAGATCAGCAGACGGCCCCAAGGCAGAGGAACAGACTATGCTTCCGAGAGCCATCTGCACCCATCCGATTGCTGTTTGACTGGGTCTGACATGGCTAATTATATCTGCCCTTTGTTTCCTCTGACGGAAGAGATGGTTCTTTCAGGTCAGATGATCAGTCTGGGCAACAACAGCCAGCGAAGATGAAAAACAGCCTAGAGGGACAAGGGGGTTTCAGGCTTGCCCGTGGCCAAGAAGCTAAACTCAGGCAAGCCTGCAGCCAGACTACCCGGTGGTTCAAGCACTGAAAGATAACCAACAGCACAACAATGAGCAATACTGGGAGCCACTGGTGGCTGGATGGGATGACTTACAAGTAGCCCAGCCAGCACTGTGGTTCAGCATAGTGCATGTACTCCACCAAATAGGGCCAGGAAGACAAGAGAAACAAACGCTGGGGACAGAGAGCCAGGGCAGCTTTCTGCCCTGTTAAGTACACCAGGCATTTGTCAAAACGACCATAGTCTTCCCAGTGCTGTAATGCCTCATTGACAGTGGGGACTTCGTGTTAATGTGTCTCAAGCACACTCTCAGCCTTCTCCTGCCCCAGAGCTTGCACAAAGCACGGTATGGCCCTGACCTGAGCTGCCTGCTAGGTCACATGTACCGGAGACCCAGATTTGCTGCAGACACTCTGTGACTGCCCTGGGGACACAAGCTGTGCTGGTGCTCAAACCTCTTCTGGAGGGTGGGATGAATTTAACAGCAGTGAAGAGGACAGGAAGCCCCCAGGGCACCATAGGTCTGAGATTTCAGTTCTGCTTATCTCTAGAGGGGGATTCCCAGCACATACCTGATGCAGAAGAGGTCCTAGGGCTTGAAGAGCATCCTCTGACCCATCTCAGCTCCAGCAATACTTGTATCCCTTTTGAGTCGTGCAGGAGGACCGCAAGGAACTGGGCAAGAAGAGCCTCATAAAGCCTAGTTCTCCCTTCCTCATGCAGTCCCTGGCATTACAGCAGACACATTTAGTCCCGCATGTTTAACCGCACTCAGGAGGAAGGCACTTCTCCTATCTGCTATGATATCGTCAAGTGCAATGCAGCCTGCAGAAACAGCGCAGATTGCTGGTAAAAGACAGGCACCAGCACAACCTGGCGCAGCTCCAAGGGCTTTATGGCTCTGAGGGGCCTGACCCATAGCAGATGAGTGCTATCAGCAAAGCCCAGCAGCCAATACACATTATTCTTCTCCCCTCACACACCAGTAAAATGCCCTTCCCCACCATCCAAACGCAAAACACTCTCCGAGTCCTTCCCAGACCCCAGTAGAGGTTTCTGGGAGCCAGCGAGCTGTTTATAGCCCCGAGCAAGCGCTAAACAGCTGAAATCAGTGCAGAGCAATGAAACCAAAGGAAATGACCTGCAAACGGCAGGAGTGATTTCAAATGAACACGTAAATTAGCTCCATTGTTCGGTCATTTGCCGGCAGATTGTATCTCTGATAGCTTGACTCCTTGTTTGTTTGCCTCATAAAGTACAGCTGTAACAGCGGAAGATTTAAATCCAGCTCAGGAGTTGCTGCTTTACTGTCTCCTCACTCCTGCTCCTTCTACCAACCCATTAACCTGCGGTAGTGTCTCTCTGGACTGCCCATACTACACTCTTTGGGGGAGATCTGAGCCCTACCGAAGTCATTCCTTCCCCACGAGCTGGGGAGAATTTAATCCTCTGGATCTGCTGGATTTCGCTTCAGTTCCGCTGCAGTAACTAACCCCTGTCTCAGCCCTTTCTGCGCTAGGAATCCAGCCGAAGGCACAGCCGGGACTAAACCCTCCACCACCGCCACAGTCTCCAAGTGTTTCTCTCTTTTAGTAGCTTTGATAAATCAGGGGATCTGGGAATGATCTGGGTTTATCCTGGTTATCTGAGATGGCAGCGGAAGGGAGAGATCAGACAGCTCCTGCTCAATCAGCCAGCACCACAGGAGCTTCATTAGTGACCATTATATTCAGCCTTATCTCAGTTCCATTTCACCAAAGTTGCCGAATCTGCCCCTGAAAGAGGGTCTGAAACACCTGGATTAAATAACAGAGCCGGGCATTGTGAATGTCATTGAAGGCCACGGCAGAGGAGGACTTTGGAGAGGCTCAGCTGTGGTGATGGGATAGGAGCAGGGGAAGATCTTGCACGCACTGATTGATTCAATTACCGCCTGTTTGCTTCGGGTTCAGATGAATCCAATAAATTCCTCTGCAGGGGGTAACCTAATGAACTGCCGTATTGTTGCTATTCCCTTTGTAGGGGGACTCTGGGGCATCCCGTATTGTCGGGGCTATGTTAGGAGGGGGCAATAGGACACTCAAAGGAAGGAAGATGAGAGCGGCTGGGGAGCAGCTGAAGCCTAGCCTTTCCATGAAGGTTCATCACCAGAAATCAAGTTTCAGCCTCCAACCACTTCTTGATTTTAGCACTTGTTGCTTCCTGCAGCGACTCAGCCCAGCTGGTTTTCTAGGAGTGGAGGAGTTAGTTCATAGTCAGAAGGAAACCTCAGAGCTTCCTCTTGGCATGGCAGAGCACAGGGAGTGAAGGGGATGGTGGGGAAGAAGCTGCTTGGTCTCTGGCAGGGCTGGGGAGTTGTGCTCTCTGCCCTTTCCAAGGAGCATAGAGGAAGAAAGCCCTCGGCAAGACTTTGTCACCCAAAACCCACAGCTGTGCCCAAAAAAAAGGCAATTCTTGGGGGAGAAATGAGATGTTTCTGCTTGAGAAACAAACAAAACCACCCCAGCTTGCATTGGCGGCCAGCTCTGGTGCTGAGGAGCAGCGGGGAGGGCTGAACATCATCTCAGTCCATCATCCCTGCCCGTCATTCCAGTCCACCACGACTGGGAGAGCATCCCAACTGGTCCATCTGCATGGGCTGACTTGCACTTGCTCTGTCCTGGTTCCTGGACCCTGCTCTGGCCTGGACCCCCTGCAAAGACCCCTGAAGCTGTTTGGGCTCTGTGCATGGAGAAGGGGCTGCTTTCACCACGGGAACAGGCATCATCTAGGAGGAACCTGCTGTATTTTGGGAGTTTTGCTGGGACCCAGCCCTGTTTCATAGGAAAACCAGAGATTCTTTCTCATGAGACACTCCCAGGGTGAGTCATGGTCCCCGGGTGAAGATGAGGAAGCAACCGCCTTTAAACAAGGGTCTGCTCTGCTGGTAAACATTGCCCATGGAAGCAACGGGAGAAGGAGGCTTGGGAAACTCGTGGGCTGTGAATGGGCTCCATCCCACAGGGTGCTTTGTGAACAGCCACAGGGGAAAATCTGCATCAGGAGCAAGAAGGTGGAAAATGTGGATTTTCCTGCTTTGGATCCTTTTCCCAGGTGAGATGTGGGAGCACAGGTCAGGTGTTTCCTATCCCATGGAGAGGCTGGGACTGAGCCAGCCCGGGAAGCCCATCATGGACACAGCAAGAGCTCAGTTGATACTGTCCTTGTAGCTAATGGATGGCTACAGGAGATGATCTTTGAGATATGCTGTTGGATAAGCCCTGGTAATAAGGCTTTTTGTCTAATAACACACACATCTGATGGGGGCTCTTTAATGACCGGGGACATCTCATCTCACCATTGCATCGTGGGCACATGGACACAGCATTCCTTGGGATGGCATATCCCAGAGCTCAGATCCCTCCTGATCCTCTGAGACAATGCCCGTAAGTGCTCCCATCTTCTCTTTTTGTCCCCTGTAGGTGGCTGGGCAGTGACAGGTCCTACGCAGGTGATGGTGAACCAGGGCAGCTCACTGGCAGTGTCCTGCAGCTATGAGCCAGGCTATGAGCTCTACTCCAAGTTCTGGTGCCAGAGGGGCTTCCTCGGTCTTTGCACCTGCGTCATCCAAACCAATGGCTCGGAGGTGACAGTGACACAGGACAGGGTGTCCATCAAGGATAACCATGCATCACACTCGTTCACGGTGACTCTGGACCATGTCACGCTGGAGGATGCAGGCTGGTACTCCTGCGGGGTGGAAAGGAAGATCTTCAGCCTGAAGCACAGCATCAAGGTGATGGTCTCCAAAGGTAAAGCCAGCCTAGGAGCTAAGCAGGGGGGTGTGATGGAGCCCATCACTTGGGAGAGGGGATCCCAGCGGGGGGTCATGGGGGTTGTCAAAGTGGGAGCAAGCACCTTGCAGGCACTGAGGTGCGCTGGAGGCTGCCCCAGTGCAGGTTTGGATGAGGGATGGAGGAGGCTGCACAGAGCAGAGCCTCTCCCTTGCTCCCTTCAGCATCTCTGCTTCCATGAGCCCCTTGGGCTTTCCAGTCCCTCCCAGTAACCCCCCTCCTTTCTTCTCCTCCTCAGTGCCCAGTGCATTGCCTGGAGACCCCCATCTCCACCTCCTGCAGCTCTATGGCTGCAGTCTCAGGGCAGAGGCCCTGGGGTGCAGGGGGGGTGTCTGCTTTGCTCTCTCTTTTGTTTCACATCTGTTTCATCCACAGCCAAAGGCAGTGATGTGAGCCCGCTGGTCACCACGGCCTTTGGGGACCCTCCAGTGCTGTAAGTCAAGCTTCAAGCCCCCAGTAGCATCCCCTGCCCTAAGACACCTCTTTCCCTCAGCCCTGGATCAGTTGCAGCAGCTCCAAGGAGCATCCCAGGGGATGCAGGGCAGACATGCAAGTGTCCCAGTCTCCATCCCCATTGCCCAGACTCAAGCTCCAGCACCATCTCCTTTCTCTTACCCAGGTCCCAGCTCAGCATCACCTACCTGCTGCTCATCCCCTGCATAAAGGTGCCCATGGTGCTGCTCCTGGTGTGTGTGGCTGTCTGGGGAAGGAGCCAATGCAGGAGCCGTGGCCAGGAAATCCTGCAGCTCTGAAGCAGCTGGTACCAGGGCACCAGGATGCCCAAAACCACCACAGAGGCACCCTCCTGCCCCTTTACCCACCACTGTGCTGGGGTTGTGCTGCCCATCACAGCCACCCTGCACCAGGATGTGCTTGGCTCCATGGACTTCTCCCCCTGTGAAGCTTTGGCCCCTCCTGGCAGTCCCTGAACTGGAAAGAGGAAGGTTTGGGGCATGAAGAGCCTGAGTCTGCTGTGCTGGAGCTGGCAATAAAGGTCTGCAATGAAGCCTGGGTGTCCTGCAGGTACCTGTCTGTCTGTGTGCCTGTCAGCACTGCCCGGGGTGCTGGTGGATGCTGATGGTGCTCACACTGGGCTCCTTTTCTCATCGCTCCCATTGTTTTCCAGGTTCTGTGCCTCCAAAAAGCAGGCACTTGAATAGTGCTGAAATCCCACAGAAACCTTGCTCCTCTCATGTTCTCGTGTCCCATGGGGTGGCTGACATCCACAGCCACATCAGAGAGAGCAGCGTGGCCACCTCCATCCTCCTCAGGGTTAGGCCATGTCCCACTTTTCATGGCACAACCAGCTTTGCCAACATCCCTCCATGAAGCTTTAGGGAAGAGTTGCTTCTCTTCAGCTGTTTGGGGAACCAAAATGAGGAGCAAGGAGCAGGCATGGACCAGGAGCTCACCACTTGATTCAACCTCCTATGGTAAAACCTCCACTGCAGACTCAGCCAAACTGATGGGAGGGAATTGAGTTTGGGGTCCCTGCATCCACTCTTCCTGCTGGGACCACAGGGGCCAGGGCTGAGCTTCCACCCACTGCGGTCCCTCCTTGTTTATTGTCTGCTCCTGGTGGGTTTGAAGGGTGAAACCCCCATCGAGGGCACTGTCAAATGGGGACAGCAGGGACAGTCCTGCCCTAGAGCCACCACGTGTGTGGAGGGGACGGAGGTGGCAGCTCCAAGGCAGAGCCATGGGGAACCACAGGGCTTATTCCCTGATGGGGAGCAACTGCTCAGGGACCCCTGACAGCCCAGAGCCAGCCTGGGTGATGCTCAGGGCAGGGAGCCGTTATTAGGGGCCAGGCATGAGGCAGGGACAGGGGCAGCTCAGTTGTGTCTCCACCAAGGAACATGCTTGGCTCTGCTAAACTGGAACCAACTGTTGCTGGTAAAGATGTCTCATTGCTTGTGCTAAGGCCAGAGCTGCGATGGTACCAGCAGTGGGTAAAAGCCAGTGGCTGTAGGAGACAGATCCTGTGACACCCAGCGTGGGTCTGGTTTCTGGCTGTGGGCTCTGTCTGTCCTTCCTGCCTTTGCCTGTCCCCAGCCTCACCCCTAGGATCTTCTTCCAAAGGGTTTGCCCAATGCAGCACACGACCAACAAGTCACATATGGGTGGAAGGGAAGACACTGGGGTGGACTGGTTCTTTCAGGGGATAAGGGATGGAGGCACAGGGGGAATACTGGGAGACCTGGCTTGGGAATAGGGCTACCAAGCCATGGAGGATCTGTGCTGGGGATGACAGCGTAGGGTGATGCTCTGGCCAGGGCAGTGGGGATGGGTGTCCATGTCAGGGACAGGAGGCCCATGCAGCACTGCCCCCATTCTGGTGGCATGTTTGGGGCTCATGGGGTCCCTATGCAGCACTGAGCCACCCCTTGAGGTAGATCCCACACTGGGGGCCCTGCCTTGCCAGAGAGGATGGGGAGAGGCAGGACTGCAACTCATTGTGGGGGCCATGGTGATGGCTAAAAGGGGAGCCCCTGGGGCAGGGGAAGGAAGGCGGATAAGAGCAGGGACAGTGCATGGCAGAGCTCTGGGTGACAGCAGGGCAGGAAGTCAGCTGAGAGCAGTGGATAAAAGAAAGCCCACGCTCCAGCTAAGAGCTTGTGGTACCCCCGGTAGAAGAGGAAGCAAAGCTCCAGAGACACAAGGAGGAAGGAGCAGGAAAGGCAGGGCTGCCCTGATGCACTGCCCAGGCCAGCCTGCCATGCGGCTCCTGCTGCTGCCTGCCTGCATGGTGCTGCCAGGTAGGGCTGAGGGAGTCCTTGGGGCTCAAGCCCACACTTGGAGCCGCCCGATGGGGCAGGAGGTGTCGGTGTAGCCGCAGCATTCCCGGGCTCTGTGTGTCTCCGCAGGCTGCTGGGCGGTGATGGCGCCCGGCGCCGTGCAGGGGTTCGTGGGGGGGTCCCTCTCGGTGACCTGCGCGTACCAGCCCGGCTATGAGGAGATGCCGAAGTTTTGGTGCATTCAGGGAAGCGTTTTCACCTGCGGTACTGACATCGTTCTCACCTCGGAGCTGAGCCCCGTGGTGCGGCGAGGCCGGGTCACCATCAAGGACTATCAAAGAAGACGGGTGCTCACGGTGACCATTAAAGACCTGGTTGCGGAGGACGCCGGCTCCTACCGCTGCGGGGTGCGAACGGGCAAACTCAAGCGGGATAAGAGCGCTGATGTGCGGGTGATCGTGTCCCCAGGTGAGTCTCTGCACATCCCTCTCCCCAGCACCAGTGACCGTCACGTCTGGGGGCCGGGGCTGGGCTGCGGGAGGAGGTGGGATGCTGCGGGTGGAGGGATGGAGAGGCACAAGGGCTGGTCAGAGCCCGGCAGCACCCGCTGCATCTGTTCCCTCTTCGAATCTGCAGCCCCGTGGCTCGGGCCGAAACCAACAGTTCCGCCGAACCCCCCCCGGCGTCCCGCGGCAGGGACGGACCCTCCACCTCCACCGGGGAACCCCGGCCCCTTCCGCTACTTCCCGGTGCTGGCCGGGCTGCAAGTGCTGGCGCTGCTCGCCATGAGCGGAGCCGTGCTCTGGGTCAGCCTGCGCTGCGCATGAACCGCTGCCAGGACCGCTCCGCCCCGGCCCCGACGGCGCGGGCAGGGGGCAGCGCCGGGACCCCGCCGGTCCCTTCCTGCCGCCGCCGGCGGCTGCAATAAAGCTTCTCCGACCTCGCTCCGCGCCTCCGCCTCTTCTCTGCGGCGCCTCCCGTGGTCAGGCAGCCCCGGGGGTCCCTGCGCTCCGCCCCGACAGGGTGGCCCCGGGGGCGGGCCGGGCCCAACGGAGAGGAACCGGGTGCTGCAGGACGCCGAGCGCCGCCGTCCCGGAGCGGCCATGCGGCTGCTGCCTCTTCTCGCCTGGGCGCTGCTGCCAGGTAAGGCCGGGCCGGACCCCCTGCGCCCCGCAGCAGCCCCGTCGGGCCGGGCGGAGAGCGGCGGGAGCACTCCCGGGCTCTGTGTGTCTCCGCAGGCTGCTGGGCGGTGACGGGGCCCGGCACTGTGCGGGGGTTCGTGGGGGGGTCCCTCTCGGTGACCTGCGCGTACCAGCCCGGCTATGAGGAGATGCCGAAGTTTTGGTGCATTCAGGGAAGCGTTTTCACCTGCGTTACTGACATCGTTCTCACCTCGGAGCTGAGCCCCGTGGTGCGGCGAGGCCGGGTCACCATCAAGGACTATCAAAGAAGACGGGTGTTCACGGTGACCATTAAAGACCTGGTTGCGGAGGACGCCGGCTCCTACCGCTGCGGGGTGCGAACGGGCAAACTCAAGCGGGATAAGAGCGCTGATGTGCGGGTGATCGTGTCCCCAGGTGAGTCCCCAGTATTGCTTTGTCCCACTCCGTGTGCTGGGATCGGAGCCTGCAGTGGGGGGCAGCCAGGAGCAGGGGGTGCCCGCATTGCCTGGGGCAGCCCCAGCCTGTGTCCCCCGGTCTCGGCAGGCTGCTGCTGTGGCAGATGCCACCTCCACTGGTTCTCTATGCCCAGGTCTTGGCATGGCCTCGTCTTGGCAACCCAGGGTCAGCCACCCCCAACACTGCGGTGCTCCAGACCTTCAGATCCTGCTGGCCCTGTCTGTGCTCTACTTGCCTTACTTTATAACACTAAGAGATCTCCTCACCCCCTTGTGTCCCCTCATTACCCACTGTGGGGCAGCCGGTGCCTGTGCACTCTAAGCTTAGGGAATGTCGCTCTCTGTCCCCTTGCCAAGGGTGTTATAGCACCGGGAATGGGGTGCCCAGGCCCCCTTCCTGCAGGGTGAGCTCTGTTGCATGCGTGTTTGGGGTGGGGGGGATTGAGACCATGAAAAGCCTCCTGAGCAGGGGATTACAGTCCTCTCACCTGAAGGAGCTTGCTCTGGATGTGGCAGAGGGGACCCTGCTTCTCCTCCTGTGACAGTAAGTGGGTCACTTCTGGTTCACTGCAAACCCCACATCCTTTTTCCGCTGCAGAGGCAGGGTGCCTGACCAGCCCTCTCCTCTTTTTGTTACAGCTCCTTCCTCCTCCTTCCCGGCATCACCCTATGGCTCCACCACTGCGCACCCTGATCTCACCAGCTCTCTATCAGTCTTCACACAGGCAAATCCCCAGGGGGAAGCCCTAAAACCAGGATCAAATCTCTCCCACCACAAAGGCTCCAGCCTTCCACAGTGAGTACCAGCTCCTGCCCACAGCGGCCACCTCCCTCCATGAGGTCTCTGGTGTAGCTGGAGCCCTACAACCTTCCAGGCTCTTCACACCTCCCTTAAGGATCCAGACCCTTTGTGTTTGGGACCAGTGTTCCATCCTCTCACCCAGCCACTCCTCATGGAAAGTAATCCCAGCATCCCTGGTCAGTTGGCCCTGGCAAAGCTCTGCTTGTCCCATGTCCATCTTGCAGCTTAAGCAAGGCGTGGGTTATCACCGTGTGAGAACTGGTTCCTCGCTGCAGCACTGACCCCGTTTCCTTCCCCAAACCTCACTGTTTGCTTCTGGGAAACCAAGTGCTGAGCTGGATCCCTTTTGGCTCTGTAGTCATGTGCAGCCCATCAGAGAGAGTTGAGAAAGCGTGAGACCGGAGCTTTGTTCCTCCTCTCCTGCCTCTTGGACGTGATGCCAGCAGCAGGCAAAGCTGAGGCTTCCCATCCACATGCTCAAGGGACTGCTGGCACACTTCACCTCACTGTCCATTATAAGTTCAACAAACAGTGGAGCTAAACCAGAGCTAAATCAGGTGCAGGAGCTGATCCTTACAGCAGTGAAGATGCAGCAGCTCTCAGACCCGAGCTCCTGTTTGCTTCTGCATGATCCAGTGTGCTTTGCTCTGTGCCCAGCCTTCAGCTGCCCCCCCAGGCCCCATCACCCTCAGCCTCTCCCTGTGTCTGCCCCACATGGGCTCCTCTCCCATCTGATTTTGAGAAGTATGACAGCAGGAACCCTCTTTTTGTGTTGCAGCTTGGATGTGGTTGAGCACATCCTCACTCCAGGCATCGTCGTGGTTCTTCTTTTGCTTGCAGCTGCTGTTGGTGTTCTGGTAATTCTGACTAGGAAGAGGAAGAAGGGTAAGTGAAGCTGTCACCTCTGCACACACTGTTTCTGCACCAGGGGCTGTCTTCTCATATATTTCGTTTTTTTTTTCCCTCTATATTTCTTTTTTCTCCCCCATTCCCTCCCTGATCCATCCGGTTCCTGGGTCCATCACTGACACCTCCACCAATGTGGTCTCCTTCCCCTGAAGGAGCAGTGGGACCATCCCATGGGTCTCATCCCGATGGGAGCAGGGAAATGACAGCTCTTGGGATGGGTGCTGCTCAGTATGGCACCCACTTGAGTTTGCCTGGGCACTGTCAGCTTGGAGAAGCTCAGAGCTTACACTAGTCTTGGTGCAGGGTTTAATGCCAGTGTGATGGATAGGGAGGGATAAGAGGGAATGTCACCAGCTGGCAGGGGGTTATGGTTTTGTTTGGAGAACTCCACTTTGGATGGTTGATGGGGCAATAGATTCTGCTTTATGGTGAATGCCATAGTGAACGATTTTAATGCGTTTCATTTCCTCTGGTTTCACTCATATCTGACCACATCCATGCTTCCACAGCCCCCTCCGGAACAGCTGTGGAGATGGACAGGACGGGCAGCGTGTCCCATACAGTAAGACAAACCCCATTGTGCTCAGAGCTCGCTTGGAGAGGGGAAATAGGCTGCCAGAGCCCTTTGCTTTCAGCCTCATTCACGGCCCTATAGGCTGGGAGGGATCCATTGGGCTCCGTTTGCCAACAGAAAGGCTAAAGCATGGGTTCAGTGCAGAGTATTCCTGTGAAGGGAATTGCGGATTGAGCCGAGGCTGTGGGCACGGAGCAGCAGGAGGGGAAGGGCTCATCCTTGTCCCCGTGTCAGGGAGCAGATGCCTTGAACTACGCTGACATCAACCACGGCGCGAGCACAGCCGAGAGCCGGCTGTACGGCAACACCGAGGCGCTGCGCTGCTCGGCAGGCACCGCGACGGAGTACATGGAGGTCAAGCAGAGGGACAAGGTGGGAGCGTGCAGAGTGGTGCCGAGCTCGGGGTGATGGGTGGAAGCTGGAGCGGATGGGAGACGGTGTGGGCAATGGGATGTGTTGGGTGGGCAGGGAGGGAGCCGCAAAGGGATGCGCCACGCTGGTGTGGAAAGACACTGGATAATGTGGGTGTCCTCTCTGGTCCCCAAGCTGCTCCTGCGTGCTTAAAGCATCTGAGAGAGGCTCCAGCAGCGGGTGTTGTCCTGGAGCATCCCCGTCATGGATGTGTTTTGGTTCTTCCCTGCTTTCCCAGCATTTGGAAGAGAAGAAAGAGCCCACATATGCCACCGTGCGCAGGTCCCTGCCGGAGCAGCGGGAGATCTACGCCAACGTGCCGTCAGCTCCACAGCCCAGGGGAGAGCCCCAGAGCACAGTGCAGAGGGAGTGAGCCAGCCCCTGGTCCATGGGCTGCTTCTACTGCCTGCAGTGCCAGCGGGACTTGCATGGGATGCACACGGAGGGCAGTGGGCTGGCTTTCTGTTCATGCAGGAGCCGGCTGGACAGCAGAGCTGCTGCTCTTGTAGGCTTGGATGTTTCCTTGGAGCAGCCTCGAGGCAGCTGAGGATGAGCAGGAGGCACGGGGCGGGATGAGGATGGAGTCATCCTTCTGCATTTGGAGACCTCACCCGCACAGCAGTGATGCTGCGATTAAATGGACTGGCCAGGCAGTGGTGGAAGAGCCCAGCAGGCTCTGCCTGGCTCCCTGCATCCAGCACCCATCCTGCTTGCCCCTTTGGCTGTTATTCACAGGCACTGAAGCTCCCAAATCCATTGGTCACCTCAGATTGGCTTTTCTCATGTTGATGGCAGGCAGAGCTGGCAGCAGGAAGCAGGATAGCAAGACGTGCTATATCCAAATGCATTTGTTATATCCAGATAGCAGGGGTTTGGGGTAGGGTAGGGTATCGGTGCAAAAGATATGGAGAGGAGCTCCTGTTCCTCCTGCACAGCAGCTTGGAAGTGTCTCCCCTGACCCCTGGTCTCACATCCCCATTGAGATTTGCTCCTGCTCTCTCTGCTCCACCATTCCCAAGGAACTCCAGGCTGGGAGCACACGGATAAGCTGTAACCATGATCCTGCTCTTCTCTGCTTTCCTGATAACTTATTTCATGGCACCCACTCAATACATCTGTTTGTGAGGCTGAGACAAGTGTATTTCAGGGGTTCATTTGGAGAGGATCTGTTAACATCAACTGCTGCAAAGCTTTGGTTCAGTACTGATATAACTATCTTGTTCGAGAAGCCACATGGAGCATCCCTGCTCTGGCAAAGCCAAAGACTGCTGGAAGTGCGTGCCTATGGTACAGAAGCTGTGGTTATTCCTGTAGATTATTCCTATATAAGCTTATATTCTTCTATAAGCAAAATTCCCCCTCTGTTTGGTCAGGAGGTGGGATCCCTCTTTCCTACCCTGCCTGAGGCTGGGCTCCAGAGGAGCAAACAGCGATGGCACAGACAAGCATCATTGCTGTGGCTTGTAATGAAATGAGCATCCAGCCAGATTCCAGCCATTGCAGGGAAAAAAGGGAAAGCAAACCCACCTATTGCTCCTCCTCCTGCCCCCTGTATTACTGGAGACAACAACGCCCCTTCTCTGAAGGAGCTGGGAGGAGGAATCAGTTGGATTGTTTAGGTACTTGG